GTGTGTGTGTGTGTGTGTTACACGGGACAATATGCTAGCAGCATATATAAAAGTGCCTCATAAAAGAGTTGGAACATGGTTTTGGTGATAAAGAGATTGAGACCTTCTTTGGGTTCTCTTTTCTAGAGGCAAATCTCCTGTTCACCAAAGGAGTGAAAAGAGGTCAAGTAGTTCCTTGTATACATTTTCCTTCTCCTTGTTATTCGCTTACTTCAAAACACATGTCTTCAACATTTGATTAAGTCTGGTCTATAAATACTGATGGGTTGTTCTTTCACACAGACACACACACGCACACACACACAAATATCCCACAGATGCGTGGACTCTGACTGCCCCCAACTGGAATGTGAAGGAACAACAAACTGAGAGATGTGAAGTGTTTCTCCCTCTTTCAGTTACATGTAGGTAAACAGATATGATCAAATTGTGACCTGCGTTGATGTCAAGGAGCTGGTTCTTCTTCAGTTTCTCCTCCTTCTCTTTCTCTGCCTTTTCCCTGGCCAACTTGGCCCTCTTGATCTTTTCTTCAGCCTCCTTCCTCTTCTGATTCTCCTTTACTGCTTGCTGGTGGGGGAAGACAGAAAAAAGGAGAAACTATCTATCAGACAGTGCATGCAGGCAAATTAAATTTTAGATAACCAAACCAAAATTCAAGAAGACAGATGTATGATGGATCTGACGGATGTCAGTTCAAAACCAGTGGATGGCGGTTACCCAAAGAAACTGGTAAAACAAGTTACCTCCTGTGGGAACCCTCCCGAACAGCAGATTTACAGTTGATGTATAAACGGACAATATAATGAAGTCACTCTCATTCATTATTATGTCAATATGAACAGGTGCACAGCCATTTTCTCCTCCTGGTTTGATATTTATCTTTCATCTACTTTATTTTTTTCGACTCCACTGTGTGCATGTCTTTGTACTGTATGTGAACACATTTTATTTGAGGGTAGTCAGTAAAGACTTAAAACCACAGCTGCGCCCTTTTGAAACAGACTTGCGTTCGCTCATTCACATGCACAAGAACTCACCTGGAACATGTTTTTAAAGGTGTTGAGGTCACCAAAGAATTCCTCTACAGAGATTTTTCTTGGGTCAAAGACAAAGTATTCTCCCAGGTCGCTATATTGCTTCTCCATATTCTTATGCAACAGATCCAGCTTCTCATATTGCTCATGGGCACTACCCACGAAACTGTGAAGACATTGTGTTAAGGAAAACAGAAACAATACCTCTGGATTTTAACAAGACATAAAAAATATAATTTATGATGACTTTTTATAGAATCAGGCTGTTTTAGGCAATTTCTGAATAATATTAGTATTATTAAATATGTGACTGAACAAAGAGGATATGGACATCTTTTCCACAAACAGGTCCTTGTCATTTTGTGGAGGAGGGAAGGTCTCCAGATCTTTTTCCATGTTCTTGATTTGACGGCCCATGAGCTCAAGGTTCTTCTGAAGAGTCTCTGCAGAAACTGCAGGGGACATAGGGGAACCATTAATAATGCAGAGCACCTAAATACAAAAGCCTACATAGATATCTTATGATGGACTGTTGTTTTTTTTATATGACTATGATAATGAGATCACACTGTATCAATAAGATGAATGTAAGGAATATAAGGATGACACTATATAGGGTCAGAGATGTAGAGGTCAGATAGATGTCCCATGATTTACCTCTGCTGGCTTTTTCCACATGGATAAGTTCGTCTGCAAAGGTCATGACCTCAGGATACTGCTCCTGGCACACATCAGCCAGGAAATGGAGCAGTGTCTGCTTCAGATCAGCTGATTTGGTGTCACGCAGCTGATGAGAAAAGGATTGATTTAAAAGGAAACAGTGAAATCAATTGAAATGTCAGCATGTGCAGTCAGTGTTACACACACTGTGTTTACAGGTGTATATGTGCAAGTAAGATTATGGGTTTCCAAAATTCCAACATTTATGCACTTCTGTCTGTGTCATCAATTTTTCCTATTCCAAATCATAAAATCAGATAAAAATACAATAAAATGAAAAAAGACATCACTGTTCTGATAAAGGAATTATGGGGCCATCAAAACATGTTTTATCTTTGTTATATATATTACATACCTAAAGCTAATATTGAAAAGGCATAAAGGGAAACTTATTGTCTATATACATCTGTTATTATGTAGACCCCTCTCATCACTCAACTATATAAAACGGGATAATATGGAACGGGAATAGATTCTGTTTTTATTTTTATTGAGTAAGAAATTTAAATTTAGTGGTGAAAATAAAGAAAAGACATGGGCAGTGAATTGATGTAGTGTTTTTTTGTCACTGCGATTACGCTGCAGGCAGAACTGTTGAAAGCTTTTACTGTTATGGGGCCCAGTTTTCATGTTATTTACTGTACGTCTCCATGTCCACACTTGATCTCCAGGAAGTGCACAACAGGTAAGACTGAAGGCCATTGCGTTCATTCAGTTTTTAGTGTGTGTGTGTATACTATGTCTACACATCATTTTACCTTGCACAGGTATGATATGGAGAAGCCAAATGCCTTTCCATTGCGGGAGCCAGCATTCATATAGTTCCCGACAAGGAGAATGATCTCTAGCAGCTTGGAGAAGGACTCGCTTTTCCTGAGCTCCTCGCAGGCTGCCGTCACAGACACCACATCTGGCTTGATGTTATTAAGCTGCTCCTCAAACTGCAGCTTGAACACGATGGCCTGAAGCCGTGGCATCAGCCGCTTCACACTGGACATCTGGAGTGAGAAAAAAGGGTAAGGAGATTTGAGACCCATTTCAAGTAAGTTTGTCGCGTATAGTTGTGAGTGACCAAAGGGGATTTCATCCATTACTCACATCTTCCACAGTTGAACAAAGCGATCTGTGTTTGGCCACATGAGGATTTTTCTGTGTCCAATATATTGACAACGGTATGACTCTATCTCAGTATTTTCACATTTTCTATGCCTCATTTGCATTAGCACCAATTTACCAGCTATGTTTGTGGTTAGTCATGTCCAAGTCAGCTGGGAAGTGAAGCTACACCATTTTTACAAAAACAAAATAGTCTGTTTTGTGTGTGTGTGTTTCCTTACCACTACTCCAAACTGCTCGCACTCAGCCAGGTCATCATATTCATCCTTCATCTCTCCCAGGACACTCAGTTGCTCTGGTGCTGGCAGTTGTTTGATCAGGTTCTATGTGGCAATAAGAGAAAAATATACAATTAACATGATCTGGAGACTGTGCCACTTACATGTTTTCCAAAACCACTCCTTGAGCAAGACATGGGTGTATACACAACAAGACAGTAAGAAAATTCTCCTGTGGGTTATTCCACTGTAAAGTACGAACAGCTAATGAGCAGTAACCTTGAAGACTCAATGTTTGAATAATCTTGAAGATTAAGATGTTGTGTTCTTATGTTACAATGTGATACCCATCTAATGCTGCCACTTTGGAGATAATGGATCTCAAGAGACTTCCTGGTTAAATAAATGTTAAATAAAATATCCTACTAAAGAACACATCAACATGAATACACTTTTTCTCCTGTTCATTATATCCACTTGTGATTACATACACATGAACTGATCTGCTCTGAAAGGCACAGTAGTGAACAATAAAAAAAAAAACTGTTCACACTGCACTACACTGTTAGAACATGATAATATGTATATGTTATATACCAGCACAGATCTGAACTTTGTACCTGAACCATGGCATCTGTGAGGATCTTCTCATTAACCTCCAGGATGGCGCTTTTGATCTCTTCATATGGGAGACGGAACGATCCCAGGAAAATGGCTGTATGAGTAAACACAATTAACAGCATTCATGAAAATCCAGTAAGGACTCAGTTGAACACTTTATTGTTGACATTTCAATGAACAGATCAAAATTAAAGATACTTTACTGATCCCTGGGGGGAAAGTTTGTTTGTTACAGTTGCTCAGGCTGCTCACACAAAGTTAAAGAATAGAAATAATAATTATACTACAATATCTAACACAATATGAATAAAAATAGAACATATATGTGTGTAAATATATATGTATGTAAAAACTAGAAATATAATTAAAGTATTTACCCTATAGTATTATATATACACAATATATGACAATATAGAATTTAATATAGAAGTAAATGCCACAGTATGTGACCGACAGAAATAAAATGAGTTATAGTAGTGAGTTTTAAAGATTGCAGTATTACAGTATGGCAGAATAAGCCAGTGTATTGCACATTGACCCAAATGTTGCACCTTAATCAGATTATTGGACATTAACTAAAACGGGCATTTGTGGACTTACAAAGGTTTTGTGCAGACTTTCCATCAAGAATCTTCAGCTCCTTCACCTTCTTTTTCTGCAGCTGCTTCTTGTCGTCTCCTCCATCCTGCTCTTTTTTGGCTGGAGAGGTGGATAGAAAGATAGGGAAGGTAGTGGTAATATTCAGAGATGGGCAGAAGAAAAAGCAGACTGTTAGAAATCACATGTATTGACTATTTACAGCTGGGTATGAATAGAAATAATGTTGGAAAGGAGGACAGTCCATCAGGACAAAATTAGTGGGTAATGGAGAGAGAAGTGGATATGAGGGATGAATACAGGGCCTATGTGATGGCTATAAAAACTGACAGACTTTGCACTGCCTTCACTTTTTTCACTCTCTCCCAACTGCATGGTGTCACAGAGGTGTTAGGGTTATTGTATCAATGGCCTTGGGTGAGATGGAACTGCTATGAAATGGCTGTAACACTGGGGGAAAGATGTCCCTGGAAGTGTGTTGGCCTGGTAAATATGGTCGGACATTTGTTAGCTGTAAGGGATTTAAAGTTTGCAATCAGCTTACACACATGCATATACAGTACATTCTATCACACACACACACACAC